TAACGTCAAATATTATTTCTTTAACAGGCATAGCAGAGCAGCCATAACATCGGATTAACAGCTGAGGCTGGTTGGATAGTAGAGGAACCCAGCATTAGCTCTGCATTCCAGCTGAATCTGCAGCCAAAATACTCTAGAGACGACTCTTAGGGCACATTTCTTTGGAAGGCCACGTGGGTAAAAGGGCAGAGAAACAAGGAGATGTAAGAATGCATGTGAGTTTCATGTTTTGTGTCTATCTGCATGTGCGTGCGTTCCACTGAGCCTTCCCTAAAAGCTCCAGCTTCTTTCTCTGTCGCTCACGCTGTGTGTGCTCCACCGTACCTGCCCCCCTACCTCCCTCCCACCCTCCCTCCCTCCTTCCCTCCTTCCCAGGGCTAGTTTTCCTGTTCTCCTCTCCCTCCCTGCAGCAGCCTCTCTCGGTTTTGTCTCGGATTTCCCCAGGAAAGGGCTATGCGGTGGTCATGGTGTAAAAAATACAACCTTCCTGATGCATAGCCTGGGAAAGCAGACCAAAGGCCTCTCCTTCTCTCCGTGTTGGCCTCTTTCTCTACTGTGTCTTCTCCTGGCCTGACACGTTGTCTTTTTCATGTTGCCTCTTAAACATGAACTTTACCTGCCTGGGCCTGTGAGTTGAATCAGTGTGTTATGCCAGCCTTTCTGCATGTTCTGGCCCATTTAGTACAAATCACAAATGCTTTACATTATATTTCCAAAGTAATTTTTTTTTTTTTGGAAACGCATTTCCTACCTTCTAGATAATCAGTGTTTTTAAATCATTTCCATTTAATATGAAAACCTATTTCCAGTTACTAATAAGCTTGAGACAGCAACATTACAGTTTGCTATGGAAAACAGCAAAGTAGACTGGATGTAGTAAATGGGCTAAGATCTGCAAAAACACTGTTATGGTCCACTGAAAGGGCCTTTAATCTCAAGCATCTGAATAGTTTCCTTTGCTGCTCTCCCCTGTTATGCACCCCACTCCAGCCCATGTATCCCACTGACGAACATGCGTACATGCACAGCGCCTCACACAAACAGCACAACCCACTTCACCTCGCTCTCACTGTTTGTGTGAGGAGGGGAGAGGAGAGAGCAGGAGAGGAGAGGAATGTGGAGCATGTAGCTTCTTTATAGTCTGCTTGTGGGTGAACGACAGAGCTGGAGGCTCCCCATTCACTACAACATAATAACCTCCATCACCACATACACATACACAGACACACATGCAGCTCATGCACTCATTCACCTCTGAGAGGGTGGTTCGTATTTTGTTTATTTTTTGACACAAGATGATTTGAAATGTGAGAAAGTACCGCATTTTCCGCTAAGTGGACTTTAAAGTAACCGGAGACTATCTTAACCTCCTACTCTTACAAAACAATAAAAGTCACACTTGAATTTCAGTAAAATTAGACAGAGATTAAATCCACAGACAGGTCTAACTCTCTGTTGCCAGGCAGCTGCCAAAATAAAGGAAACACAAAGATCAAGTGTCTAAATGGGGCATTTGGTGTCACTACAGCCACCAGAACAGCTTCAGTGTGACTTGGCAGAGGTTGTGCAAGTGGCTCAACTCCACTGGAAGGATGCCACAACATTCTTCTACAAGTACTTCTCTCCTTTTGTGTTTTGTTGTAGGTGCTGGAAAACCCTTTCAACAGGTGCAATTACAGGATCTTGAGAATGAGGAGAGTACAAGCACTTGCTGAATTCGATGCTTTTTAACACAGTGTTTGCATGTTAATGAGCTCTCCAGAGCTGACCCACTACAACTTGGTTTCCATCCAAAAGTGGACACACACCTACGGGCTCTACAGTGAAAACGGAATGATGCTGCTGATATCATTGTACACCCCGTGAGCTCTTTGTGTTTCGCAAACTAATGCTGCCAAGAAACATGTGAACAAAGATACAAGATACCGAGATGAGTCAAAGTTAGTCACTATGGTGTGTCGCCGCAATAATATTCACAATAAAGCATTTATTCATTATTTAAATCAGGACATAAACAATACAGTGCAGGTAGTATTTGAAGGTACTGATTATTATGTTCACCCCGCTGATAATCACAGTTGACTCATTTTGTCTCCTGACTTGTTTTTCTCCAGATGTAAAAATATACAGGTGCCTCATAACCACTGTTACCTGACATTATCGACATCAGAGGTAATGTATATTTCACTACAGAGACTACTCAGCTATGTCCGTCTATATACCCGTCATCAGACCAAAACGAACCCCTGTGTGTTGTTTCTATGTTAAATAATTGAGAGGGAAGTGTTGTGAAACTGTGATACACACCCACTGCCTCTGGAGTAGTATGGCTCATTTCTGTCCACAGGATGGTGTGCTGCTATAGCTCTGTGGAGGAAGAAACACGAAAAACAGGGCTATAAATGGGACGTATCCGCCACGACTGCTCGAATATGTTACTGTCACAACATAAAGGTAGAGATCCTTTTATTTGCAGTCTATGGAATTATTTACCTTCAGTAATATAGTGAAGCTACAGCTTGTAAGCTCACTAATTTGCTCTCGGCTATTCTGGGCATCAACTCTGCTGTATCTGAATGGTGTCACGGTGCCAATAAAGTAAAATAAAACAAACAACTGAAGTGAAAATCAAACTAAAAGAATGTGAGAAAAATGTAATATGAAAGTGAACCAGTTTTGCTGTGGGAACAGCAGCCTGAGAAAGGGCAAGATGCCAGCTGGCTATGAGACTTGATTTCAGGCTGAGGATGTTTTTTTAGGCCTGAAGTCTGGTTGTTTCTCCCCGTCTGCAGACACTAGAGGCGGGCTTTAACATTCAGCTCTGTCTGGGCAAGCTCTTTCCCCCCCCCCCACCCCAGGGGATGGAGGAAGAAGAAAAGAGAAGAGAGATACGGTACCTGCAGTCAGGGCTTTTTATTATCTTCTATCGCCACCTAGTGGTAATACAACACATCTCACTTCCTCATTGCTTCATTTCACACTCTCTGTTAGCAAACATTAGCTCGTCTGACCCAGACAAAACCTGATGACAGTGGTGCGTGTGTTCATTTCACACTCGGTCCAGTGTTTCTGCTGTGAGAGCCAGCTAAAAGACCAACACTGTTTATAGTTTCACTAGTGACGCTGTGCTGGTTAGCTCGTGACTCCCTCTAAGCTAGCTGAAAACTCAGTGCTGGTTTGTTTTTTGAGTGTCGACAAACAAACACAATATTATAATATATGATAATGTAACGTTACATTATCGACGTGAATTGACTTACCATGTGCTATTTGCGTCCAGTTAACTATCGTCAGGTAGATTATAGTACCTAGCTAGATATTTGTGTGGACCTTTTTACTCAATAGCATTTTTTTTTTTTTGAAGTGGAAGCATTTAGGCCCTGTGTAGCACCTCACAGGCAGCTCCTGCTCTCACTTTGTACACAAATCCACGTTTATTCGCCAGGATTTACATGTCGTAAACCACGAACCAGGCCATTGCCCTAACAGCAAACATAAATATCTACAATCTCAAATATTTGATTGATGGAGTTTACCGGGAGCGATAAACTCACTGTAGCTAAAGCTGCCTGTAAGACAACAAGTAGGGCTAATTAAACATCGTGTCTATTCTTGGTCTACTACGTTGTTTTCAGTGGAGGCTGTCATTCAGGTTCAAAGTGCACTACTGCCACCCTCTGGTGAAGGAGCGCAGTGCAGACAACATTTGTTATGATAGATAGATAGATAGATAGAAACAGATAGAGATAGAAGGATAGATAGATAGACTAGGATAGATAATACGGGAATCAGATAGAGATAGAATACGATAAGATAGGTCGTCATTGCAGCCAGGTAGCATTTAAAATACCAATAAAATAGCTGAGGTAGAAAAGATAAAAAAAAGGAATATATATAGATTGATAAGGTGCCAAAGAAATACGATAGAATAATACATTTTACTGAAGCAATGGTTTGACCAAACACAAATCAAAATAGCCCTGAAGCAGTACAGATTTATCATCTGGGTTTTCGTTCATTCCATATACACCTGTCCATAGATGAAATGGGGCCCACCTACAATAATAAAGATAAAGTAACTACACAGCATTCAATATTCATACGAAACGTATTGTAGGTAAACAGTTACGTCAAAACCAATTATACGCCAACAGCCTAGCCATCCCCAGTTTCCATGTTAGAGCAATAACTCTTCTACATGTAAAGAGACCACATTTTGAACATATAATGTCTTTGATCCATCCCTCCCCACACAATATGGAAGTAAAACACTTTTGACCTGTTAAAATACCTCCCCAAAAGACTTCCAGGTGTCCCTAACCTATATAAAAGTTCAAATACGTTTGACCGAACCATGGTCAAGAATCAGAAAAAAATACTTATTATTTATTATTATTTTTTGTTACAAGACTCCAAGGGTTATACAGAACAAGCCAATAATATTCATACAGAGCAACAATCTATTAAGAAACCAATAAAATATAACTATATATATATAATCTACTATAGTTAGTATAGTAAAAGATGACATCAAAAGAGATCAAATTTACAGTTTAATAATTGCCAAAAAGTGATTGCCCGTGTTTGTGTCAATTACATAGATAGAATACTTTATTTATTCCCGATGGAAATTTCCAAGCATCCTAGTAGCACATAACAAAATAACAAAATAGCATGTAAACAAAAATTAAAAAACCCTGACCTTAAAGAACAGAATCAAAAAATAAGACAAAAGATAAGATAAAAGTAATTATGAATAAAATTAACAAGCAGCTACAGTTCAGAACTAGATAATTATGTACTACTATAGTATTATTAATAAATGGCTAGTCAAACCAGCGTGTCTTGTATTGATGATGGAAGAAGACATCGATTCAAGCCCATCGATCAAAGCCATGAGACAATCGAACCCCGAAACTCCCAATAGAATTGGAGACGTCACGTGTCGATGTTGTTACCCAACCCGTGCTCGCCGCGTGTCACCTCTAAAATACCCGCCGCTGTTCTCCGCAGGTGATTGTTTGTTGGTTGTTGTTGTTGTTGTTTACAGGAGCGGAACTCCCCCGCCGCGGTGCGTCCTCTCCCTCCGTCGCTCCCGTTGACTTTGCGGATCGGCGTCCGGATCAACCGTCACTGTGGCCGACGGCAGAGAGCGACACGGTCACTTGTCTCCTCCAGCACAGCTAGCATCAGCTAACGCTAGCGGACCTCACCGCGGAGCTAGCCTGCTAGTTGCTTAGCAGCGATGGAGTGGCTAGGCAACGGAGCCTCAGTTCACCCCAACGAAGAGTCAAACAGTGCCGCAGCCTCAACAGCCTCAACAGCCAGGGGCTTCAGTGGGGGTTATCCCCACCAGCAGGTAATAAGCTCATGCTCAACAGCGCGGGTTGTGAAGTTTACACTTTAACTTTACAGAGATAACGGAATTGTCTTAAAAGCGTGCTAACTAGCTACGCCTGTTGTGGGACCATGGCGAGAAGTTCACGCCAAGTTGGCTGATAGTTAGCAACGCAGAGGCTAGTGTCTGTTTTTCAAGAGTGTTTTTATGAGGTGTGCCCTCGCCACCGTGTCACTGTCGCAGCAGATAGCTTGTAGGGAGCAGCTGCCGTCGTGTGTTAGTCGAGACCTGTCACGGTGCGAAACAGTACCCAGGCTGCACTGCTCACCTGACGCAAACCCGTGGTTGCGCAGTCTAGCTACCTATTTTACACTTCTCCAGGTAAACCGATCACTCGCAGTGTCATCATCCTGTTAGAAAGAGACCATCTATATGCGGCACGGTGAGATCAGAGGCCACAACAAGACATGAAGCGGTAGCTCACTGCCCCATTCCCTCAGGTCCTCGATATTCTCACACACCACAGCTGTGGGCCCTGTCTGTCGTGGACTAGAAAGGGCATTTGGTTGTTTTGGGGTAGGCATGGATAAGATGGAAACAAGCGTTCATTTATTTTTAGCCACCTCGCCCCACCCTGTACCAAATATGGCATGGCTGTGGTCATGAAAGCTTTAAAGCCAGTGGCCTACATTTAGTTTGTGATTCAGAGTGAGCAGGCAGTTCTGCGTGTCAGCTGTTCCCCTCCTGTAGAGCCCATCCTCTCTCCTCAGGATGATGTTGTAAATGTGACCTCCCATCGTGGGCACTTTTGTGTGTTCGGTCTAAACCTGACACCGACAGAAGGGCAAATTACCACAGGATTCTTGCACGGGGAAAGTTTGGGTTCTTTGGACAAGAAATATTTGTTTCCTGCCCTACAAACCACAACAACACTCTACTGTGTAATACATGAGGATTTACTGTTGAGTCACTGACAGTGTTTCTTTTCTCTCGTGTCCTAATTTCTTCATTTTTTCTCCATTAACCTCACCAGTCACCATCATCGCACATTTGCAATTGTGCCATGGCATCGTTGTGCCAGAGCCAGCAGCGCTGTGTGAAGGCCTCTATCGTCTCCAGCTGGAAACTGGCTGAGGCCCAGGATCAGTTGTGTTCTCTAGGCGTCCACAGCTCCGAGTCCCTGGAGCAGGAACGTGCTCGGACTCAGGCCTGCCCTACCGAACTCACACACAATGAGGAGGAGTGGCGCCGCAAGGAGAGCATGCTGGGAGTCCAGGAGCCCAGCCGCAGTCCTGTACTCGGAGCTGTCGGAAGTTGGGATGTTTTTGATAAGGTAAGCGTGCAAACAGTTGGGATTTCTTTCAAGTTTAAGTGAGCTGTTGTGACACATACAGCTGAGACGGAAAACTGAAAGCAAGCAAACAAAATTGGGACAGGAAAGTGGAACTCTGTTACATTAGGTAACGTTATGTTAACATTTTCTTATACTTATTCGACTGTCATTACCTATAGACCATGTCAACAGTTAGTTTGTGTCTTCTCTCCCCTCCAGAGTATCATCAATGTCCAAAATCAACCTGTAGAAATGGATCAGGATAAGTGCAAGACGTTTCTCCAAAAGTATGAGCAAGAGCTCAGACATTTTGGTAAGTGAGATGCCAAATCTGAAGTTTCTAATAAGAATAGTGTCACACTCTCACACAACATACATAAAACGTCAGTATTTCAACAGTACTTTAAAAATAGTTGCAGCTTGAGGCAGGATTTGTCCTCCAGTTTCTCTGTAATAGATCTAATAGATATTTAGTCTGCATGTCCATAGATTTCATGTGTCTCCATACATGTGGTAGAATAATTCAAGTCACCTACTTGAATTATTGGAGAGAACGCCTGCCAGCAAGACACTGTTACTGTCTTTTGTTTTTCAAACTTTTACCAAAACTATAGATTCATTATGATGCATTGCCTTACTCAAAACAGTTTAATGTCCTCAGGGGTATTGCCGTTCCTTAAAAGCATGATGTGTCTGTACTTGAAGGAAGTTAATCAGTCATAAAATACGGGATGCTTTAGAAAATTATTTGCCCAAATGTAAAATATAGGTCACACATTTCTTAGTGTGGGAGGAGGAGTGCTGGAGGGCGGGCACTGCCGGTCAACTAGACTAACATTCTCAGAAAACAGTAGCAAGTAACTGGGTTCTCTTCGGCAATAGTTTCACATACACACATCACGTAACTAATATGCTTTTGATCCATTCGTCAGGTATGCTGCGGAGATGGGATGACAGTCAGCGATTCCTCGCAGACATGCCTCAGCTCATCTGTGAGGAAACGTCCAACTATTTAATTCTGTGGTGCATGAAACTACAGCAAGAAGGGGTAATGTATTGAAGGATAAAGCTGGTGTTATTTTATCTTATTATCCACAACAAAACCATAATGAGACCAAACCAGACAAGGAATTTATCCTACTAACCAGTCTGTTTAGTCACAGCCTTGTATAGCTAATGCCATAAGAGCCATCTAGTTGCAGTGGATGGCATATTCTTTTATTATGATAAACAAGGCCAGTGTAGTTTGTTTCTTTTATTTTGCTTTCTTTTCATTTTTTTTCTTCTCAGCTCGTCAAACTAGAAAAGCAGTGTAAACATGGAACCACATGCCTGAGCATGTGCATATCTGCAAACAGACTGAAAATGCAGTTAATATTAATAATCGCACTGTTCTATTGAAGTGTCCAAGTAAGTCATGACAGTGAGCCAGCATGCACAATACCAGGACCCTGAAACTGAAGCTGCTAAATGGAACCCAGCCATCATTAATTGAACTGTTGTTGTTGTTGTTTTTTACAGTAACATGTTAAAATGTCTTCAGTGAAAAAGGCCAGTGCATCAGTATGTATGTATGTATGTATGTATGTATGTATGTATGTTCAGAGGCTATACAGAATGTATTTGCAAGCATGATAATAATGATGACAAGATTAAACAGTGTCTGATGTGCTTGCACACACAGTGATTTAAGCAATCACTTTTGAGTGCTCTTTTTGGTTATTGAAATATGTATTAGGTATTCAGGTTTCAGATATGTGTAGCAGTTTCTCTTTCTCTTGGTGCCAGCTTAGAGTATCACACTTCTAAATAAAGAGATGCCGTCACCTGCTTTATTAGTCCCATATGTGGGTCCTAATTTTGTTCATGTTCACGTTTTGTCAGGGCTAACCTCTCTGTAGAAATCAGACATTTTTAGTGAGGTGCTCCAGGGAATTTACACCCCTAAGTATCTGTCAACATACCATACACAACAGAACATACTGCTGTATGTATGTAAGTGTTAGAATTCAGTAATTACGTAGCACAAGTTATTCACAGTTTAGCACAGTTCAAGAAGTTAAACAGATGCCCAATTAAGACACACAGATGGTCAAAAATGTGTTTTTTTTGTTTTGTGTCCTGCAGAAAGAAGCACTGATGGAGCAGGTGGCACACCAAGCTGTAGTGATGCAGTTCATCCTGGAGATGGCCTCGAACTCTCAGCAGGATCCTCGAGGCTGCTTCAGACAGTTCTTCCACAAAGCCAAAGTAAGACACAGACATCTGATTAATGCTGTACAACGGTATGATGGTCAACAGCTCTACCCTACAATGTATGTATTATACAGTGTAACAAAGGCACATTTGTTTTAGAAATATGGTTTTATACTTGGATTTTTTTGTTATTGATAGTACAGTGCTCTATACCAGATTGAAATGTTCTTCAGGTGGATGCTTTTTCCATTAAGCTGTTGTGCCACGTTTTCCTAATATTGTTTCCATCGTTGCTCTGTAGGACGGAAAGGATGTCTACTTAGACGTCTTCCATACAGAGCTTGAGACCTTCAAACGCAGAGTGAAAGAATATGCCATCAAGTGTAGAGGTGGTACACCCAACAACATTGAACAACAGAATACTGGCACAAACTGCAGACTCGACCCCAAAGAAGCCCTCGACTCTTTACCTTCAGTAAGTGCTGTTTCTCCTTTTCCCAGCGCTACTGAGACTCATAGACTGTTGCAGTTACTGCACACAGCTGTAAGATGGCACCATTGAGCCATTAGTCCTCTGATGTAAACAACTCTTAAAGTTCATCTTGAAGTTGGGTGCTGGACTTTAAAGTGTCAGCACTCGTGTTGAAGTGGGATTAGGTGTTATTGTAGCAAAATATGCTCATGATCAGTTTCATGTGTGTTTATCCACAATTTTTGGATGTGGTGAGAGCAATGCAGTGCACCATGGAACTTTTCATGGGAATTAGGAAAACATGGAGTAAAAACACTGAGCAAGTTAGCACTTTGAAAAGTAGATTTTACCTACAAAGCATGGTCTCTTGAACCATCATGTTATCTGCAGCCTTTTTCTTGTCTCCGTAATTGGAAACCCCAACATCTGCCACACCGTAGAAACTTGATCCCTACTTTTAGTTTTACCTGACTGAGTCAAATGTGCGTCAGTGTGTCTCGCGGTTAGTGCGATAGAGTAGAAGTAGAGTGATATGTTTCATAGATGCATGAGGGGAGCTCTACCAGGAGGAGTTACATGTAACAAACGGTCTCTCTCTCTGGATCCCCGAGTCTGCCTCATACTAATTAAAGGCCTTTATTGTTTATGGCATTCTAAACTAATAACAGACATGAAAGAGATTTTTATTTGATAATTGAAGTGTAAAATAATTCAGATGAAGTGTAAAAGATGCCAAATGGATTTTCTAGTAAACTTCATGTTTGTAGGATGAAAGCCTTTTGTAAGGGAGAGAGAATGAGGCCTCCTCCCCCCTGCTGGCCCCACAGCTTGACTAGCTGCCAAACATCTACCCAGAGAGAAGGAAAAAAACTCCCCACAGAGGAAAGATGGCTACCCAGGAATGCGATCAAGCCTGTTGAAACTGAAGCTTGGCTCTTCAGGTCCCTGCTTTTGGATTTGTGTGGTTTTCATCACGTAGCATCTCCCCTCACTTTGAACTCACGGTCAGTCTCTGAGGAGTGATTGGAGGAGCGTTTGCGAATTCACAATCTAAATGCTAGCTTCAGCTCAGATCGGTGCATTAAGTGTTTAGGAGCCAAAGTGCAGTTACATAACCATTATAATCCTCTAACCAGGCCACAGTAGCTTAATCCCCCAGAGTCTCTCTCCAGCTCCATGTAAACCTATTTTTGATTTTGATTTGTGCCTGACAATCCTCACCTGTGAATGGTTGTTGATTTGACGCGACTGTCTTTGTCTCCCTCCACTAGGTGGCAGAGTATCCTATGAAGCGCTGTGTAGAGGCGGGACTGTGGACAAGCACAGGGAGGTGGACAAAAGAGGAATCAACAGAAACTGACGATATGCGCATGATGGAGACGTCCTAGGGGTTGTAGGATCGACCCCCTGCTTTTCTTCCATCTCCATCGTCTCCCCACTTAGGAGCTACCTGAGTTTTAAGCCCCCTTTACACAGCGGACCAGGCGGAAAAACCCCAGTGCAGAGCAGGAATAAACAGAGACATGATCAATCTTTTACGCTGCAACTGTCGGTGGCGAACCTGCAGGAACATAATGTTTTTGCTCATTACAAACAGGTTGGCCTGTGGCCTTTCTGCAGTGTCTCTTTCCAGCTCAGTGCATGTGTTGTGCCATAAGATACAGATACAGATGGAGTTCTTATATCCTTCAAACTGGTTCCCCTTAAAATGAATCATGTCATGTACGAGAGAAGCATGACTTGACAGATCAATGAACATTTTGTATAAACAGTATTGTCGATCGTTTGCTTTACTGTGCTACACATTTATTATGGCAAAGTGTCTTGAAGTAAAACGTAGAACTACCTGATCATGTTTCTAAAATAGAGAGAAGGTGGCTGCCCAGCAAGTGAGATCTGTTGAGTAATTAGATTTCAATCATGAGGGGAAAAAGTATGCATATGATAAGGCACTTCTGAGCATATTTGGAATACAGTTCACCTGAAGGCGGGACTGCGGCGTAATGTCTGAATCTGTAACAAATACAGAGAGCATGAAATGACAGTCCACTGAGTAAAAGGTTTGGATTAAAAGGTCTAGGGTCACACTCAGAGGTTCTTTGTCGGGAGAGGATGAATAATGCAGTATCTGGTTCTGTGCTGACTCAGTTGTCTGCAATGAACATATAAAACCGATGTTTCATGATGCACTCAGCCTTTAATGCAAAACATGCGTGTTAAAGGGGCAAAGTCAGCTCAGTCTCATGAGGATTTTTGAGACAATCTTGGTGTTGAGTGCAAATGTGAATGACCTGCATCCAGGTTATTATCTGGGTGTAAGACGCATGGTAATGTAAGGTGTGATGAGGGTTTAATTGGTTTTTATTCCCTATGAATTTATTTTATCAGGCATTCACTTAAAGCCTCAAAATTGAACTGGCACGCAGCTTATTCAGATCTTTCAGTACATAAAAGGTTTACTAGGCCTGCGTGGCCTTTGCGTATTTATGTTTTTCTGGTTCAGTGATGGGCCAGTGTAAACCAGATTGCCATCTGTACCCAGCATCTGAAGCCGAGTCACAACCTCCAGTTTCCTTATACATATATAAGTGCTCTGTGCATACTGGTGTCGGGAATCTACAGCTGAGTAGGGGCTAAAAGCACCGGTATGGAGGGGATGGGGGGGGAACAAAGGGCTGAGCTCTCCACAAAGACATTTACTGCATTTGTATGCAGAAAGTAACTTTGTGCATCTGAATGTGTCCTGCACTTTATATTTCTCTTTTCAAAACAGAAATGGTTTAAAAAAAAGAGGCCGAGGTAGAGTGTTTGAAGCACTTGACTTTATTATTCTTCCCAGTCATCAAGATTTGTTTATTTCACAAGCAGGCTTTAGCTGAGCTCGTGTTTTGAATTGTGTGACATTTTGATTCGGTTTACTTTTGTATTTTGTTGTTTGCTGACTTTTTTTTGTCACTTTTTGTGTTTCGTGTTTGTGCCAGATTTATTAGGCTTCCAATTATCTGTTCCCTTGATGATTAATATTCATTATTTAACAAGACAGCCAAAATCAGTATGAGAATCTGCTAAGCGACGGGATCAGTAAGACATTTACTGCACACTGGAATTAAAGATACCATACGATGCATTAAAGTACAATACATCTGTTTATGACTTAAAGCTGTGATGCAGTGTTAATTCTGCGGTGCACCTGGTGTCATCTCACTATTCATCAATTCACAGATTTACATGTACTTTACACACAGTGCTGTTGTGGGGCAGTTCACATATGACGTGTAACGTAGACTGTAAACATACATAGAGGTATTTTAAGCAGTGAAGCTAAAACAATGTGCTTTAGTGGTCTTATATGTGTTTCTCTTTTTTCTGTCCACAGTGACTAATTAACTATGCAAAATAATTGTATGGCTTAAGCTGTTGTACAGTACCTGTGGCCAGTGTCCATAGTGTCTCAACTTCCTAAATTAGCTAAAGATTATGACTCTATTAAACATAGAGTGAAAAGGAGAGAATTTCTGTCACTAATCTGTGAGTTTATCGAATTACACAAGTTACACTTGTCTTTCAGTGTAAGATTTGGTTTCTCTTGCTGCTGTTAGAAACTCTATATACATATAAAACCAGTGCTAAATGTTTGTGTCTTGCTGTCGACTGCTACAGTTATTTGTAGACCTGCAAATTATACAGTGGTTTCCTCTTGTCATTTAAAAATGAGGAGCCTGGGACGGCGCCATCATTAAATCCCCAGGATAACTAACTAACAATTTTACACATCAGCGTCTGTTAACTGGTCATGGGGAGTAACTTATATTTTTGATAAGTTCCATAAAGCCTTTTGTGACACCAGAGGGAGCTTCTTAAAACGTTATAAAACAGTGGTTTTATAAATGAAGTTGACTTTACTCTGTAGCCTGCTCCTCATATCTGCTTGAACCTACATAAACCCAAATCTCCAACCCAATGTTCAGCAGTTGAGTTGTATTAAGGGGGAATTGTGGGAATAAATAAAGGTAATATCTCTGCTGCATTGATTTTGATACTTTATTTTTTGTAACTGTAACTTAGGAGCACAAGGATGAATCTGTTTTATGGGTGTGTTAACTGTCAAAACCGATGACTGGGATGCTATCCAGTTGTTACTCTGATTACAGTAATATATTACAATATGTAACTAGTATCCTATCAGAAGTTTATTGTGATTCGTAATAAATACTCATGACACAGTCGTAAGTTGTCATTGAAGAGGAGGTGTGCTTTTAAATATTCAAGTGTTTAGAAATACACACGGTACATTTTCAGGAAACAGTACATTGCAAGCATTGGTGTAGTTTTCGAAATGCTTTTGACACGGTGAAACATTCTTAAGACAAAGTGCAAAAACACCGAACTGCAGATCAACCTTGAATGTCATGATATTTTCTAATAAGATGATGTGTTATAAATGTTTTAATTTATACACTTATCAATATGGTTTTTAGTTGTCAAGTCAAAATGGCAGCTATCGGTATACATTTATAGACTTGGTCACAGCAAGGAATGCCCGGTTAAAAATGGGAACTGTGTATTTTAAAGGCAACACTATTAAGACTTGAGGTGGTTGAAATAAGCTGTTACTCATTGATGGCTTCATTAAAAGTATGGTCAGTTTATACATTATTCACTTTGTGGTCCATATGCATAAAAAGTATTTACAAACTACATTCATGGAGCTACCTGTTACATTTTCAAAAGCAGCAAAAGGCACAGCTTGTAGACCATGGCACATTTCCCTTTTAGGGCAGTTACCCACTGCATAAGAAACAGTCCCATTCTGGGGCAAGAAGCCCATGCAATGTTGTTGTTTTTTTTTAAGGATTTCTTACAAAAAAAAGCTGGAAAGTCTCTCTCTCTTTAGCTCAAGATATCTTATGTGTGTCCATTCTTTTCAGTGTCGCTGCCATCAACTAAGACAACAAGTCATGATTGCAATTACAAAACCTGTAAGTTAAAAATGTATACATAACTCTAAAGTTGGTTGATTTCACCAAAAGGGCATGCCAACTATTCCTATCATTTATATTCTACTATTAAAGACCTTGATATTAGATTCAGTGACACCTCCTGGCTTTATAAAAGGCACATTATGGAATGAAGAGACAATCTTTTTAAATTTTACACTCACATGCTGAGAGTTTCCCAAACTAATTGCAGCAACATTGTGGAAGCAGAACAGTAGTGCAATAAGTATTTCAAAAGTGGAGTTTTCCCCAACAAAATCTGTATCTTACTATTGCTTCTTGACATAAACTATGAGCTTGTTCCTCATTTTGAACATCCAGAATATATTATTACACAGATGGCTGTCCTCTAAGTGGCACCTGATTTGACAATATGTACAAAGTTGTTTGTGCTGGTAAACTTGAAACCTTCTTGTGCCTTTCTGTTGAGGCTTTCTATGCAACTGTCTGGTTGACGGAGGGGAGTTTTCTGTGGAGGAAAGCCTCAACGTGCGGCCAAATCTTGTTGGTTTCTGTCCCAGAGAAGGTCTGTAGCACACCTTTACTCCTGGAAGGACAAAGAAACACAGAACACGTTAAACATCATTTAAAGTGAACACTCTCTATCCTATTCCCAGTCTGTAATCCTTCAAATGATGACCAGCCTCTCGTTAATTGTGGTAAAAATAAGTAGGACACTAGCTAAGCACATCCCTGTGGTTTGAGGGAACACAGAGTAATATGTTTTCTTGCCTAATTAGTCCAGAAATAGCAATTATGATGCATGTACTTTCAAATTGGGTCCACAGCCTCTTGTGTAGTATTTGTATTTGTATTGTGTGAGGTTTATTGATTCTGGTAAACCTTAGAGAGATTTTTAAAAATATGCATGTATTCATTTAACTCCTGTAATAAGGAGAAAAATGGTGTTTGCACTTATTAGTTTGTCCTCTTGGAATGTGTTTCTTAAGGAGTTTTTCAGTCATGCAACTGTGAGGAATGTGAAAGGAGAACATGACCAATGGTCATGGCTCAGCAGCACTGACTGTAGCCTTTTACCTATATTAGGTCCAGTGTGTAACATTTAGGAGGCTCCATTGGCAGAAATCTAATACAATGTTAATAGGTATGTTTTCATTGTATAATCATCTGAATATAGGAATTGTTGTGTTTTCGTTAGCTTAGAATGAGACGTTTTTATCTACAGACATTGCAGGTTTTCTCCTACATACTTTGCAGCTTGTTTTCATTCGCAGGTAGTCAAACACAGACGCGAGGCGTGTTCAGGTAGCTATCTGAAACTTCACTGCTAGATGTCACTCAATCCCACACACTGCTCCTTTAAGACATTTATGTGGAGTATAATTCAGTAAGATGTGAGACACTGTAATGCATTCAAACATCTGCCCATTATTCCTCTTTCTCTGTGCAGGGATGCAAAAAAGGGCACTGTAATAAGTAGGTGGAAGTATATTTTGATTTATCTGTGCTATTCTACCTGTAGTACTCTAAAACAGGCTCTGTCTGGGTTTCGTATGCCTTCAGTCTCCGTGTGACCGTCTCTGGTGTGTCATCGTCCCTCTGGACCAGAGGCTCCCCTGTCACATCATCCAAACCCTGGAGAAAGCACATAAACAAATATTGTGGTGACTTAATTACTTTCACACTACACCTGCACAAGATGCTGTAACAATACTTTTTAAATGCATGTTTTATGCAAGCTGCAAATGGTTTTGTTTAGTCTTTCTGCGCCTGCTGACTGATAAGAAGAAACATAATATAATAAATTTTTTTACCTGACAAATTATGTGAGAAACCTGCTGAGACAGAGTTGCGTAATAAATGCTTGAGGCACTGTAACTTCCATCCATTGTACTAGTCCACAGTTGTAGGATTTGTCCAGCTCAAACACAGACACACACACACAGACTCAAATGTAAACACTGATCAAGAAACACAGTGTGAGTGTTGTCTTTGCTTTCAAACCAGCTGAGCAAGAGAAGAGACAAGGTTGATAATAGCAAGGCTGATAACGTTGGAAGACATTTCAGTTGTGTTGACTATATGATAACATATTTTCTTGTTTTTTCACCCTGTGCGAGATGTAATGTCTGTTTCCATTGTATGTAGAGTTTAAACATGACCTCCCTGATAATGATCTCAAGCAACAGTGGTTTATGACCACGTTATGTACCACATCTTTGCCAAAACCATTGGCCTGTTTCACAACGCACAGGTATTACTAATAACATTAACGTGGGCTCTGTTCTATTCAAGTGCTCCAGTAAGTCCTGACAGTGTGACAGTGAGTCAGCATGCACAATACCAGGACCATGAACCTGCTAAATAATTCAGCCATCATTAATTTGATTATTTACACACGTGCTTTTCCTACTGTAAGATGTCCAGATGTTGTGGAAAAATGTCTAAACCTCACTTGGCTTGTAGAAAAGTTAATTTTATGTAATCTATATCACTTTTGACACTACAGGGTTTTTTTCTTCTGCAGGCTGAGGAGTGTTATTTTCCAAAGTGTTTTTGTTATGGGCCCTGCAAAACATTTACAGTGACCCTGATGTTTCTGAGGACATAATTTGAAGGTGACTACAACCAAACAAGCTGCCCTGCAAAACTGTGCTTATTTGTTGGTGTTAAGTGCTTACGTTAGGGTAACGTGTGCACAATGACAATGCTAACATGCTGATGTTTAGCAGGAAATGTTTGTCTTGTTGACAATCTTAGTTTAGCATGCTAACATTTGCTAATTAACACAAAGTACGTTGGAGGCTGAAGGGGAGGTCATTAGTTTTGTAGGTATTTGGTCATAAGCTGAAGTATTGGAAAAATTAAAATGTCGACATGCTGCAGGCACTAGAGGAAAATTCTACATGGTAAAACCTTTTATACAGTCTACGGGTAAAACACAGCAGCAGGCGTATTGAAATTACTTAATCAGAAAGACTAGAAGGAAAAGTGTAGGTCTATGTGTCGAAATATCTCGACACGATCACAAACAGAAACATACACCACTCAGAGAAGGGGGTAATGATAAAGGTGTTGATGATCCTCAGTCCTAAACATTAACACTGACTAGCAACATCCTTTCATAGTATCAGTCTACCTCTTGCATATTTTAGCAGGAGATGTTATGAAACATGGAGGAACAGTTCCAGGAATCTGACAGTGTCTTCAGTTTACTCAGAGAGCATGCACAGTCCCTAAAGAGCATGTGTGGGCTGAGGGGGGATATCATGTGCTGTCCCAAAATCTGCATGAAATGAATGATTCATAAGGAGCAAGACTCCTGTGGTATATTCCCAAAATTCCATATACCAAATTCACGCCTCTAATAATTCAAGTTGTACTGAAAGCTAAGCTCAGATCTCAGGAAGAAAGTAGATGTGTCTAATGACCTCTAAGTGTGTTCACTGTTCGTTTTTGAGGGGAAGGTGGCAGCTGCTTCATGAACATGAAGAAAGAAGAAATACTGGAATTTTTAAACTCTTTGTGTGATTGCTTTTATTCCTATTTTATATATGTTTCTGACACATTGTTCTTGCTAAATCAGGACTGTGAAGAATGCACTGAAGCCAATGATTAACTATAAATGTGTTACTCCTTGTGCAGGAAATGTAGCAGGAACATGCTGCAAATCCCTGACACAGAGACATGTGACCCAGTTGTGTTAGCTATGAGTCATGCATCTGTTAGACAGAAACCAAATAAAATAAAATATCTTACCATGACTACTGTTATAATGAATACAGTCATTATTGCTGTATTATAATAAATAATGATGTACCGACCTACAAAACAGTATTGCCTACAATTATCAGAGAGCTCTGTCTGTAGTCATGGAAACAGATCCACCAAAAAACATGCTCATCAAAAGAAACTTCAATAAAATGACTTTGCCTGACGCACATCTTCACAAAACACTAAATCAAGGAAAACAATCAGAAACCTGAGCTCTAGTAGCGTGCCTGATTAAATAATGCATGCACGTTCACTGTTGTTGAAACTAAAATCCAACTGACTGTCTTTAACTGCACTAGCTGCCAGCCACTCTGTTTACTGGTGTGTAATTGCACTGGATGAGAGCAAAGGTCCCCACTTGAATTTTCACAGCTAACAAGTAGCCTGTTCATCTGCCCGTTCCTGCTATTTTTTCTCATTAGAAAGTTGTCTCTTGTGTCAATTGTTGTTGTCTGTTTCTGTTCTCTCTTTCAGTAATGCAGTTCTTTTGTTTGGGTTCACAGTGGCTTTTTTCTTTTTTTTCGTATTATATTGGCTTTTGCACCTAATTTTTTCCAAGATGAAAAAAAATCAGTAATCTCAAATAAAGAGTATACTTTGCTTCTCAGGATAAACGAAAAGACAGTTATATGCCATTTTTTTAAAGCCAAGGGTAAAGTATTAGACCAGCTTAAAGCTCAAGGACATTTATGTTTGAAAAGACACAGTTTCTGTACTGACAATATCTGGAAACCAAAACCCGAAACACGGACAGAGTAATAGGTAAGAGGAAATATATTTACAGGAACTTTAGGTGGGTTGAAATCAATGTTGTAGACTCTGCCGCTGGGAAAGTGAGTCCAGCGTGAGGTCAGCCTCTGTTTGATGGTCTGGAAAGGTACATTGAGGTTGATGACTGTATCCACAGTGTAGGCGCTGTCCAGAGTCTCTGCCTGGGATACTGTACGAGGGAAACCTGTTACAGAGACAGACAGACAGAAAGTGTGCGGGGAAGAAAGAAGTAAATAACTAAACCAGGATTTGAATTCAACAACATAAGAACAAATGAGAGAAAGAATGTTCCCCTGAGAGCAGACAACTAAAAGCATCCCTGAAAAGAACATAAAGATCTATAACAAACAACGCTGATAATGGGTGGGTAAACAAACTTGTGAGCTTTTACCATCGAGCAGCCAGCTGCTCTGGTCCAGTGCTCTCAGGTCACTCAGGATGAGACGAGACATGACGTCATCAGGTACCAGCTGACCTTGATCGATACAGGACTTCATCAACAGGCCGAGTTCTGACACACAGAGACAAAAAGAGACAGGAAGTTGCTGATTATACTCCATGCTATACTTATATACTTATACTTATTTCTTCCAGAAAACATTAACTTTTGTATGTTTTTAGCTGCTTCCACCCTGCCATTGTTTGTAACCTGCTCCTCATTTTAAACACATTCAACTTGCAGACACACACAGTCACCTATTTATTTTATATCAGTAGTATTACTTCTATTATTATTATTTGTTTATTTTTTGTTATTTAGTTTAAATAATGCCATTGTTACACTACAGTCAGCACGTCATGGTACATCTGATTCCTACATACAGGCAGAAATGAAATCTCTGTCAACCTGTTGAGGACATCGAAGCAGTGGAATACGAACTGAATGAGTTCCACTGTTACTTTGAAAGACAAAGGGACAGTCCTGATACCATCCCCCGTGACACCCTCCACCAGCCCCCCACCCCCAGCTCAGCAGAAGCCTGGGCCTCTCCTCAACTCCACATCTCCCGACCTCTGTGACCCCTCCCTCCTCCACCACAGTGACGACTCTCTGCCTCCAGGAGAGGGACGTCAACAGGCTCTTTAAGAGGCAGAACCCCCGCAAAGCAGCCGGACCAGACTCTGTCTCTCCATCCACC